AAAAGAAAATGCCCAGAGAGTTAACCATTGTGGGTAAAACACTCACTGCGTAAAGGCATTTAAGGGCTGCAAAAATATAACTGATGAAACTACTTGGTTAAAACTGAAAACAGCCCAACCTTTTCACAACTTGGCTGGTATGTTTATTTTTTTTAATCCTCTGATTTTACGCCTTTTGTTTTACTCTCTACAATGAACAGGCCCTCCTCTGATCATGTAGCTGGTTTTAATGAAATACCAAAATATACCATAAGGACCACTTGCACCCCATAGACCTGCACCAGCAGCTTTTAAGCTTGAAAGTTATCACCCAAATAATCATTTGTTTGCCCAGTAGATTTTAGGATGCTTGTTTCACACAGAAACACTGGGAAAAGTTTCACTTTGGCTTTCCATCAATAGATTTAACCAATGCAAGTTTTGCTTTTTGAAGCAAGAAAGCACCATTTTATCCATATTACATATTCTGAAACTTAGTGAGTTCTAGGACTGATTGTGTCAGAATGCAACAAAAAGCTGCAGTTTCTATTGATGAAGCTTTTTTTGTTTTTAAATAATTGCTTTACTGTTTACCTACATTTCTTGTGTGTGAGAAATGTGAACTCATGCAAAATCAGAAGTCATTATTGACTGAAATTTTTGTAATATTTTAACTCCATCCTGAAAGGACATCGGAATTTTACATCTTTACAAGCTCAAATAAAAAAAAAAAAAAAAAAAAAAAGCCATTATTACTACGCAACACATTTATCTAAAAGAAATTCCACATGCGACTTTTTACAGTTGTGGAGCACTATTAACGTTCCACACAACCTCTTGTTTTAAACACACACATAGTTTGAGCTGGAAACAACACGTTTCCATCGATGCAGAACCAGGTTTTTAACTTATTACTGTCCTTCCGCCTTCTACACTGAGGAAATTTGTTTTCAGTGGAGGATGCGGTGAAGGTAGCGTTCAGAGTCTCTGGCACTCTCCATCCTAATGCCCAACCTCCATGATGATGGCTTGAAGGGATTTTGATTTCCCGTAATGTCTTCCTCTGCTCGCAATTTAAATGTCTCCAGACTTTCTGACGGATGGGCGTTATCTTCGACAGAGTAGACGGCTAGTGGCTCCTCAACCCTGAAGGCAGAAAGGCAACAGTAAGTTTATCTGACCACCGTGAAATCCTCAAAAAACTATCACTCAAGAAAGAACAGTCATAAATCACAAATACAACAAGTAGCTTTTATGCATGGACATTTTCTGATCTGGGTTTATCCCTATGAAAGAACAGCAAATGCAGATCTTTCAAACAATTTTTGATAAAACTATGTTTAATGCTCTTATTAACAGCACTTTGTTTATTCACACACAGCTCCAATAATTTGTGTACAAGAATCAGGTTCTCAAAAACCTGATTTCAGATAAATCAAGTCACATTTTGTTGTATAATCCATTTCAGCAGCCGAGCAATTCAAAGTGCTTTACGTTGAAAATATGACACAACAAACAGCAGGACACATTACTTTGCTGTTGCTGTAAGATCCCAGAGTTGCTACTTTGAGTAAGTTAGGGACACTATTGTCACATATTCCTAATGGCACTTAGCAAGTCTTTCTACTGAAATCTCCTGTTTTGTATTCTTTTGTTTTATCCCCCTTCTGAATCAAGGTTTGTCTAGTTACTAGATTTTCAGGAAAATTAAATCAGCTTGCTGTAATCTCACACGTACTTTTAACAATGTGTGATTCTTCATCACTAGCCAGAGAAGGCCAGTGAGGAATGTGAAACATGAAGTCTGAGGCGTCTTTGCGAAAAGGTTTGCAGGCAGAGCAGGACTCAGTCCTGCAAGGTCAGTGTTGGTAGGTCAGGTCCTTGATATTAAACACACCTTTCAAGACACAAACTCAGAATTCCTCCAATCAGACGTCTTCACATACCTGAGATACCCCGAAGCTCTGAGCCACTTGTGTTCACTGTGTCCTTCCGCTCTTATTCCCGTCTTATTCCTGGCTCGAACTCTCAGCCCCACTAAGGCCTGGGCCAGGCTCACTTCATCTGCTACATGCTCCTCTTCACTCTGCTTTCCCTCCTCTGCTCCTTCCGGACTCGCTTCCACGTCCCGCCACACCAGCTTCGCCCGATGCTCTGCGTTTCTGTCCCCCGCCGTTCTGAACAGCCTGTGCAGCTGATGCAGGTTCACCCCTGAGAAGATGTTGGAACAGCCCGGCTTCCTACTGCGTCGACTGGAAGGTTTCCACTCCGCAGGCAGGCTGTCCTCAGTGGAGCTGAGTTCTAAGGCCTCTGCCATATTGTTATGTCAGACGGCTTAGTTGTGTGGGGTTTTTTTTTATCCTGCACAAAAATCAAAAAAGGTAACCTTGAAATAATAACCGGAAGAGACATTGTTTTAATACAGAGTAAATAGATTAAGAGGAATTGTCTTTTTTCAGATGTAACATTTTGCATGAAGTTTTATTATCTTTTGAGAGATGTTTATGTCTTATCAGAAGCAAGACAATATTTGCTCACAGTATTTTTATGAGGTAGCAAAGATATTTTTCCAATTACCAATTAAATGACACTCGGCAAAAACTTTTTTCTAAACCGAGAAATAACGTTGCTTGCTCTGAGAAGTTCTTTAGAAAAAAACAAATGCACTGTGGTCCAATCACAATGCTTACCTTAGGGTCCGTGGATTGAATGAGACGCTCCGACTCTACACTACACTGACAACCTAATTACTGAGCCAGCATCTAGAGTGCAGCCGTCACCACCACCTAATGCTGAGCTGACCCAGTTCTAACGAACAGCGTCAGAGGCAAATAGAGCCGCAGGCGGAAGGAATAATCAAAGAGTAATCCAGCAGTGACGTCAAGCCCAAGGCGATCACCTCAGCGTCAGTCTACAAACAAAGAGGGAGAAAGAATTTAACAACCAGGAAAAGAATGGGTAGAAATATCAAGGCTGAGTGGGATTATGTGGAGAAGTTACCTCGGAAATAAATAAGGAGAAAGCACAAGAATGGAACGGTTCTGTTATTTGAATACTGAACTACACATCCATTTCCTACAGCTGTAGATATGTGCCATAACTCACAGCGGTCTGAAGTTGGACGTCCCCCCCTCCCCGCCGCCATCACTCTAATCTTTAGCTCCCTCCACTGATTGTCTATCAGGTTCAGGTCTGGACTTTGGCTGGGCCACGCCAGCATGTTAATGACATCCAGTAAGCCACGTTGAAAAGGTGTTGGTAAAATTAAACTTAAATCTGTCAGGACCATGGACGACTTGGGGCTTTACTTCAAGTTGCACTTTATTTCTGTTTGTTTGCTGTATCGTGGAACATGTGATTGTACAAGAGGTTTTTCTTGCTTGTGCAAGCAAAGCATGCTTGACAATAAAAAGCCTTTCACTTCTAATCTGTTGAGCACTGTTGAGCCATTATTTAGCAGGATCCTGGCAAGGTGGCCATTCAAGCAGTTTTTTCAAAAGTAGACCTTGAGGCAATTTTTATTCCTTGAGTGACTTTTTAATTTTAAAAGTCCAGTTTTTTAATTAGATGTCCAAATGTTACTTCATTGGTTAGTGTGCAAATTATCATCCTGCACTAGACCTAATCGTTTGATCCCAAAAACGACTTCCAAGAGTGGACTCAAATGCATTATACTGGCACAAGATGAATCCTTAGCATGCCAATTGCAGATTTCTATTTTTTTTTTAAGTGTGACATGAGGTTTTATGTCACCCATCCCATTTTTTTTGGGATGGGTATGAAAAGCATTGGGTAGAGTAAACAAACAGGAAACAACTCTGGGATTAAATAGTCCAAGTTGTCTAGTAGCTCAATTAGAAAAGGGATTAAATAGTTCAAGTTGTCTAGCAGCTCAATTAGAAAAGCTGGAACACAAGGCAGGGACTCATTAAGAGAAAACAGGATCAACAAAACAGTGATCCAACTGAGAATTAAAAGCACAGCAAGAAATATATATTACTACTAAAACAGAGAGGACAATTAGATTAAAACTAGCCTGGGTTAAGGTGAAGGGAAAATTACGAATTGGTGCATTAAATGTAAAATTGATTAAAGCAAAATCTGTAGTGACAAGTTCTCCTTAAATATTTCTCAGCTGCCTCTTCATCAGAGGAAAATTCTTCAAAAACCAGCAGTAAACATTAGGAGGCAGCAGAAATGATTGGCTTCATTTGATGCAACATTTGTTTCATTGGTCGTAAAGTCCATTAAAAGGGTTCTGCAAACAGGTCGTTCAAAAATATCCTCAAAAGTGATAAAAATTCTCTGACTTTGTGGTGTGTCATTTTCATTTGAATATTGTTGGATACCGCAATAAAGTCTAGTTTCATGGCGGGTGTGCCGTTTTTTTTTTGTTGTTGTTTTTTTTTTTTTGTGGATAAAGTTGCAATTTAGCACGCCCACCACCAGGTGTCGCAATGTGAGAGAGAAACGAGAATCCCAACCTCATTTTTTTTTCTTTGAGAGCGACTGAAATTTCATACATGTCTCACTGTGCGGAAGTGGAGCTTCTGTTTACAAACCAGCAGCAAACCTTGGCGAATCAGCGAGAACAAAAAACACATCGCCGTAGATTGAATGCGCCATGAAGCCGCAGCCGTCCGGGGCGCAAAGGCGAGCGTTTGCGCCTTCGCTGTGCGGATCCGAAGCCGTGCGGTCGATTCAGGAGGAGCTCGTCGCTGCGATACACGGAGCTCTGGACGTGGCCGTGGAGATGGCGGTGCGGGAGGTGCGGACGCTCGTGAGTCAGGCGACGAGCGACATGTACGTGGAGCTGCGGGGGGAGAACGAGTCGCTGAAAGAGAAGCTGCGGCGGGCGGAAGAGCTGCTGGCTGAATGCGAGCGGCTTGAGCATCATGACGGCGGCGTTGTGCGGAGAAGCGAGGCGCCCCACCCAACTTCCTGCGGTCTAAACGCGGATGCTGCAGCAGAAGGCACGGAGGTCAGGAGTGAGCCTGCAGGTCATGGCTGCCCTGGCCCGGTTGTCCGAGGTGAATACATGAACAGACGTGAGGAGCTGCTAGCTAATGTCTCCTCGGAACAAGGAAAGGATCGTATCAAAGGTGGGGCAGCATGTCTGTGTGCACATGGGTGTTGGGTTTCATTTACACCACAGTGCTGACAGTATTTGTTTACTCTCTCACACGAACAATGTGTGTGTGAGGTAGAAAGCTTTCTATAATGTTTAGGGGAACCAATGACCATTCTAAGAAATGCTCATTTGTGAGGTCAAACGCTGATGTTGGACCACACGGCTTGGTTTGCGGTATTCTTTCTAATCCAGTGGTGTTTTATTGAGTAGACTCTCCTTTGTGTACTGGTGCACGGTCGTGTTTAAACGGGAAGGAGTCGTTCCTAAAATGTTCCGCAAAACGCAGATGCGAATAAACAAACAAACAAAAAATCTATGCACTTTTCTTTTGCGTTACACTCAATGTCATAGCAATAAAAAAATCTGTTTAACATTTTTCTAATTTTTACAATTTGCTTTAATTTTTTTTTCATAGATCCCACTCAGATGGCGTCTCAGATGATTGCATTGAAAAACAAAGGTGCAATAGCATGTCGAACCCCACGAGCTCCAGAGTCTGTGCCACCTCTCAGCACTGCCATCAAATCTACAACGGAGCAAGTTATCGTAAAGCAGGAACGACTGGAAGAGCAAAGGAGTGGGGCGTCCTGCTGTCTGGAATTAATTAAAGAGGAAAACTTGAGCACGGAGGGCTTCGGGTGGCCACCAGAGGAGACGCATATTCAGAGTCAAGATCCAGAGACACGTCTTGTCCGTGCAAGGGTGGATCAAGGTAAGAGGCAAACCAGATGAGCTCAAAGTTGAAGAAATGTGAAGAAGAATTTCCATTTAAGGTTTTAAATGTTTGGTCTATCGGTCAACAAGAGACATTTTGCCCTCTCTGTTCAGTTAAAAACTTCACTCTTTCATGTTAAAACAAGAAAAAAAAAGAATATATTTGTGACAAACAAAAGATTGTAAACCTTATGTCTTTACCTGATTTATTTTCATTCCCTCAGCTTGTCCTCCAGACATGAGCAGCAGCCTCCCACCAGCCTCCGATCTTCAGTCCGTGTGCCCAGAGTTTCCAAACATCTTCCACCTGGCAGAACAAGCTTCCGTATCACAAGTTCCTCCGCAGGTGCACAGATTCCACGTCGAAGCAGGCCGCAGCGTCTCCACCGTTCCCACGTGCAAGTTCTGCGGTCAGACTTTCCCCCTGCCCAGCCTGCTGCGGCGACACTACGGCCAGTGCCGCCAGCGGCTCCAGCAGCGCTGTCTGCCGCCCGTGGCGGGGGGCGCGCGAACCAGGCTGCAGCTGTACCCCCCGGGCTGCAGCCCCTTCCGCTGTACCGTGTGCAGCCGAGAGTTCAACCGCCTGGAGAACCTGAAGACCCACCTGCGCATCCACACCGGAGAGAGGCCGTACACCTGCTCCGTGTGCCTCAAGTGTTTCCGCCACTCGGGAGCGCTCACCCGGCATTTCCGCATCCACACCGGGGAGAAGCCGTACGTCTGCGGGCAGTGCGGGAAGTCGTTCAGAAACTGCGGTGGGCTCAAATTCCACCAGCGCTCTCACAGCAATCACCAGCAGTAGATTAAGAGACTGTTGACTTCTTTAATGCATTAAGTTATAAGTATATTTGTCTGAGCGCTGAGGAAAGCGCTCCGCCGCAGCCAATTGCAGCCCTCCACCCTCTCTGCACCCCCGCCCTCCACTCACCCTGGTGGAGGGCGGGGTGAGTGGTCTGCAGTCTTCCCCAGCATTAATTTTGGCTACAATTGTCAAATTTTAATGATTGATTTTAGAAAAAAACTATTAATTAGCTGTAAGTCAAAATCTGTAAAGAGTCAATACAATACGCTAATGTCATGTTTTGAAAAGAAACAATTAGGGTTTCAATTGCATTTTTGATTTATTGAAATGCTCTGATGCTTTAAGGGTAAATATTTTTATAAGTGGTTTTTTACAGGGTCCTCTTTTCAAATGTTGCCTTGACAAAGTGTTTTCACAAATTAGCCTTTTTAATTACGGGATGGAGCTATATTGTCTGAGTCGGCATTTAATAAAACCTTCAAACAGTGGAATGTATTTAACTTATATTAATAGCGGTATGCAGGTATGGTGTATTGTGCTGACAATGGTTGTGCATAATGACATTTCATGTTTTTCGTGGGGCCTTCTGGTTTCAAAGTGCTGTTTCTTGTCATTCTATTTTTAGTATTTAAATAAATTCATTGTATGAGCCAGTTTGAGCTGGTATTGTTGACTTGTGTGCTTATTTCTACCAGTAGAGGGCGACAAAAGAACATTTCTCCCTTTCAACCAATGCTGGGTAATCACAAAATAATTAACGCCAACATACAAATACATTCGGAACTTCAGTTTGATTGCAAAGTAATTGCTTTGCTTATCCAGCCAAAACATTCCCAAAAACTTGGCATTTAATTTCTGACAATAACCCAAATTATCATTTTAGAAATAAGGAAGCAATTTAATATTTTATCAGCCACCTGCCATCACTATTCAGTCAGGCGGGTCATGCTTAAGAAAACATCACAACTCTTGCAAAATGTGACACCTCTCCAAACTGAAACTTATATTAATTAGACAATCATGCACTGTCAGAAACTTCCTGCCTGTTGGTGTAACTGATGTTTGCTTTGAAGATAAGACCATAGTGCGGCTTCTTTTTGTTCTTTCTCTGCAACAAATGACAAAGTTCTCTACTCATTTCCCATCTTGGCTAATACTCAACTGATAAGAGCTAAAAAAAAATAAACACAACTTCCTTTTTAAACAACTGTATACACTTCCTCTGTTTCGGAACATTGCACAACAAGAGTAGCATTCAGCACTCCTCCCTCTTCTTCACTGTGGCTTCTAACAACTTGAACAAATGAAACGGGCCTGAACTAAACTTATGAAAACCTTGCAACCTTTTGAGACAATCGCAGCAATCAGACAGTTGATTGCTATGATCAAACAGAATCATAGCAATCTGTTTGCTATGACATATTTGCTACGATAATGACCCGGCCACAGGTATTAACTCCTAGAGGGCAAATTGCTCCAAACTTTTCAGGTTTGAAGGGAATGTTTCAGACACTCCCAACAAATATGCATTGGGATTTGTAGATGGCCAGTTCAGAATTGTCCAATGTTTGGCTCTCATCCAGTGTTGGGAGCTTTTAGCTGTGTGTTGGATCTTTATGCTACTGTAGGGGTTTTCAATTGTATTTTGAGGATAAACAAATCTGACACTTTGCAGCATTTAAGCTTCTAGAATAGCCTTGACCTTGAAAAGTAAGCTGTAAATGCCATGTCCACGCCAGAAAGCCAGCCAGCACAAGTGAACGCTACCAGTTCAGACGACAAAATGAGTGTTAAGCTGGAAGTTTATCATTATTTCTATGTAACTTGCCACACATAATTTACCCAAATATTGATTTGTGAGGCTGTGTGTCTGTGTGTGTGTTGGTGGGTTCAATCTAGGTACAGCTAACTTTCCTGGCAGATTTAGATGTGACAATAATAATGTCTTATTGAACCAACATTTTTCTTTTCTGAAATAACTTATGAATGAAAATAAAATCTATCTATCTATCTATCTATCTATCTATCTATCTATCTATCTATCTATCTATCTATCTATCTATCTATCTATCTATCTATCTATCTATCTATCTATCTATCTATCTATCTATCTATCTATCTATCTATCTATCTATCTATCTATCTATCTATCTATCTATCTATCTATCTATCTATCTATCTATCTATCTATCTATCTATCTATCTATTGAAATTGATCATGTAGCTCTGTGATCGACTCTTCTGTACTGATCAGCCCGGTTTCTGCTATCGACTATTCATCCTGGATTAGAATGGGAAGCGAACGTTCTCTGGACAACACCGAGCTAACAAAGATAGCCGCTTCCATTAAGTAACCAAACACCGGCGGTCTCGGTCGTCTTCTCCCCTCTGTGGTCATTTTGACGAGCCAGGCAGTTCGGACGGACATGTCTGCAGTCGTGGTACCGGAGCTGGTCCAGTTTGGCGGCTCGTCCTCCGTCCCCGGTCTCATGATGTCGGTGGGTTTCGTTAGTTTCGCCTGAGCTCCTCTCTCTTCTCCTCTCGCAGTTGCTGCTGCTGTTGCTGCTCCTGGACTCTCTCTGCTCCCGGTGAGTTATCGTCTGCTCCTGCCTCATGTTTTAAGTTGTACGAAACGTGAAATGCTCCCAGAGACGCGCTGTTACGCGATGTTGCGTGCTGTCCATTCAGAGTTCAGTCTCGGGCCACAGCAGCTGCTAGCATCAATTGTTTGAGCCGCCTGCTCGTTCTGTTGTGACTCGCTCTCTGCGGGGAGTCTTCGTGTTTTAAAAGGAGACGGCCGCTCCAGCAGGTTTTTAAAGGCTACACTGGCTCTGTTTGTCATGTTCATTGCTTTTCAAAGCGCTTGTGTCCCTTCACCTTTTCAGACCTTTTGTCACGTTTCTTGATTGTGATCGATCAGAGCTGCGTAGTGAATATGTTAAAATTTAGATTTTTGACAAATATTAAGTCAGCAAAGTGTGACCTGCTTTTGTTTGTTCCTTTCTGCAAAATCAGCCTCAAGTTGTAGGTAATTTTTTTTGTATATATATATATATATCAGCTTTGAACATCTGACCTTTTGTTTTGGTCATTCTTTAAAAGAATAACTCTAATCTTACCACAGATTCTCTCTTGGAAGTCTCTCAGACTTTGACTAGGTCATTCTAGCTTATGCTTTGATCCTAATTATTCAATTTTTACCTCTGGCTAAATGCTGCCTGAAGACTGAAAGCCTCAGTCTGAAATCTTTTGTAGCAAAACCTTTGATGTTTTAAGACATTATTTTAATTTTTGGTTATAATAAATTGCCACTCTTATTATTGTTAATTTATATATATATTTACAACAATCCGCAATAAATACCCATTAGTCATCACTGTTTTACTGTCCGAGGTGCATTCTCAGACGACTCTTTGGATGCATAATTTAGTAGGCTATAATATTTCACCAACTGCTCATCAGATGGACTATGGGCAGTAGAAACCCACACAGGAACGATGCTTGCCAAAAATATATTTGGCCATTGGATGAACTTTCTCTGTTTTTTTTATGCTCATAACTGGTTTAAATCTCGGTAACACAGAGGCGAGAGCTCAGGGTGAGCAGATAGGGCAAGATTTTAAAATGATACTCCATCACACTCTAAACTGTTGCAATACTCAACAACCAAGAAATAACTGGAACATTGATCAACATATTTTATGCATAATTTTTTGGTGATTTTGATGATGGTTTTTGACATCTTATGTTTACTGCTGTTTCGTATTTGGTTACCGTGTTATGTTTTCAAGCTGTAGATCACTTTGAACAGCCTTGTTGTTGAACTCAACCACATTGAGCTTTTGAAATGCTTTCTTTTCATTAAAGAGAAACTGCTTTAGGAAGCAACTTTTTATGACTGGGTGACTTTTGCACCATGTCAGGTTTCTTGTTTCATTGATTGCATCCGTCCTGATTGTCATTTTTTTTTCCTACTCACTGCCCAGAGATGGCAATGCACAGCACTGGAGAGGCTCCAGGGGAACGGGGAGAGTTGGTGCACTCGTTATCTAAAGAGACGCCAGGCTCTCCGGACGCCTCAGAGTTGGGGAGTCCTCGCTGCCCACCGAACTTTGACCTCCTAAACATGGTGGTGTCCTACAAGAGAATGGCTCTGTTCCTAGAACCGGTTGTGGACGCAGTGGAGCTCATTCGCTATCTGCTCGGGTATGTACGGGTGCTTATGTCTCGAGTGAGCATGTTGTTGTAATTCTTCCTTTTTGTTCCCAAAGACCTCTAATTATATTTATTGTTTTATACGTTTTCTCCATTGCTCAGATGGAAGATGCCGATGTGCTCTCTTCTTGTGTGTGTATTCTTTAATGTCTTCTTTTGCACAATTACTGAAGGTATGATGACATAAATAGTGATCGTAAATGGTTGCTGCGCATTTTAATAATTGATAAAACAGTTTCCTGTTTTTCGTTTCTCTCCTCTGGTGTCAGCTGGCTGGTTCACAGTGAGCGTGGTGGCGGTTTCGGCGCCTGCTGCCCTGGGTTACCTGCAGGACAGGTGTGGGAGCAGAGCGTCAGAAGCAGAGCTCCAGAAGAGGCGATACCACGCTGTGCATCGTAGAGACCTGCAGACAGTGAATCTCACCAAACAGGAGGCCATGCTGGAAATCAAAGACCTGTAAGATACAAAGTGCTGGTTTACAGTCAATGACAGTGTAACCTTCAGCTTATAGATTTAATAAGTATTCATTTACCAAAAGCAAGTCCCAGTCCAATACAACATCAAAGTTAACAAAAGCAAAGCAATTAATATGGTTAAACCCCCCCAAAGATGACATTTTATCTATATTAGATGACCTCATTAGTATTGTGACTTTTGACCCCCTGAACTCCCTCACCAGTGACGTTCTATAACGTTGCTCTCTTCCGTTTCTCTCGACTGCAGCAGATATTTTGTCCCAGTTGGACTTTCTGCATCAAATCCACTCCAGCAGTGGCTTAACTGGGTTGGAAAAACTACTCCAGTGTTTCGAGAAGGCAAAACCTGAAATGCTGAAAAGTTTTCTTGTTGGGTAGTTTGCTAAAAGGCTAAGCTAATACTAGCTTTTTGTCTCAATATTTTGATATGACTCATTGTTTAGCAGCACATTTCTCTTCAGGTTCTGTTAATCCTGTGGCAAAACTTACTGAAAACCCTGGTTTCATGTGGCATAAACTTATTGTTTCGCTTTGGACATCATAATGTTTTAATAAGTACAGTTTCAGCTGCTTTCTGTACAGCTCTCCTGCACACGATGGGATGTTGCACAGGCGCAAAGAGAGCTGCAGGAACCACTACAGTTTCACTGGGGAGTTTTATTGTGAAGTGTGAAAATATTTTTTCATTGTTTGTGTGAAACCCATAGTCATTTAGACAAGAAAGAGGTCGGTTAGATGTAGCGTTGTGATATCTTAAGTAAATATCGGATAGATTTAATGCTGTGGAAGTTTAGACAAAATATGCACCTGCGCATGTGTAACATTCGTGCATCAAACAACTTTCATCTGAAGCCTGTCTGCGCTCCGAAGGTTCTTTTACTAGAAACACTACTTCACACAATGACCTTGCATATTTTTGCCACGACTCTCATTTACATCTAATCCAGTTGTAATTGCTTCTTTTAATAGCAGTTTACATTTTTATTTCTGTCTGTGTTCACTGTCCCCAACAGGTTAAAGCACCTGGATGAAATGTTGTCCTCTGCTTGTCAGTCAGCAGAAGCTATTTATAAGGTCTTATACTGGGATGATCATGCCACATCATCAAGGTGTGTGAGTGCACTGACACCTACACACAAATACATGTACACTGCATGTGATTCAGCCGTTTGTCTTCAGCAGACTGAACCCTGGAATCGTCAATATTGAAATGGTACCCTAATTGTAATGTACTACACATCTAGCCCTTCATGGGAGATTTGTACCAGAGTTTGGAATTTATTTATTGTTTTTGTAAGAAATAAAATGGCCATTCCTTTTCTGTGTCCCATGCTCTAAGCTTTTCTTATATATAATCTTACTTGCGTACAAATTTACTTATGTGTGAACTTAAATAATTAACTTACTTGCGTTCAAACGTATGACAAACTTATGTATGGACTTTCTTATGAATGAAGTTACTTGGCTAATGGCCTTACTTCTTTACAAACTTAATTACTTTCTAAATTTATTCCCCCACAAACTTACCTATGAACACACAAACTCACTTCTTTACAAACTTACTTCTTTTCTAACTCATTTCCGAACATCCAAATTACTTCAAAACAAAATTTGCAGTGTATTCAAAATGAATAATTGTATTTAAACGTTAAGGTTAGGTCAGAATTGGCTGAATGCTGAGTCGGAGGTCAAAACTGTTGCCTGATTCTTCCATTGTTCCTCCTTCCAGGTTTTATGGTGCAATGCTAATAGTGGTGTGTCTCCTGTACGTCGCTCCTTTGGGCTGGGTGCTTGCCGGGCTTAACAGTATTGTCTTCCTGTGGAACAGAGACTTCTACAGAGGTTGGTTCATTCACACACGTTCCACAGTAACTCTTGGGATGGTTTTGATTTTTTTTTTGTTTTATGTTTCATTGATGTGTGTTTTCAGTTTTGTTGGACCTCAGGAACCTGTTTCACTTGGGTCAGACGCAGACCTTAGAGGGGTTGAGTGAGGAGCAGGAACCTGCCAACACGGCGGACCAGACTCCAACCCCAACCAGCCTGGAGGCGAGTTAACAGAAAAATGTGACAATTTCAGTTTTACAATAAAACCAGCTACAACTGTAAGCTTCTTATTCTGTACTGAACTCATCGTATTCAATGTAGTGCAAATCCATAGATTGACATAGATGGTAACTTCTCACCCATGTTGATTTTTTTTTTCTGATATTAAATGAATGGACAGGGCTTCAGATTAGTCTAGAGACAATAAGGCAACAGACAACACAAAGCGTCACTGTTGACATTAATTTGTGTGGTAATTTTTAAATGTATCTATAGTGATCTCCGTTTAATTTATTTTTTAACAGGACCTCTCTCCTGGCAGCATAGAAGAAGCAGAGGAGGCTGAACCAGATGACGAGTTTAAAGATGCAATCGAGGTAAAAACAAACCTCACGTTGATATTTGAAGATCCAATTCCCTTTCCTGCTGAGTGTGTAATCCCACGGTCTGTCATGACCTGAGGAAAGAATTTGCCTCCACAATCCCATTTTCAGATAATCCCCAGACACAGAACTGAACATTTCTGGCTGCAGTTAAAGAGACATCCAAGCACTTAGAGAAACATAATCAGTCAGGTAGGCACACAGTTTACATGCTGCACACAGTTTACATGCTGCACAGTGAGGACATGTTGTTTCTTTCTAGTATAATTTTAACCTTAGATTTTAATCTTGCTTCATTAAAATGAAGCAAAAGACAAACAGTTGAACAAGACGTTAATAAAGTTACAGTAAGGTTACGTAAACAAATGAATGAACCGTGTTTAATACAGCTTCACCTCAATTTTTATGTTTTAAATTTATATGCACACATATACACACATACATATAAAAATATGTATGTGTGTAATACTGCTTCTATTTTTGAATATCTCTGTAAAATAGCTTTGGATGGGCCAACCTTCGTCGCTGTTCCTGTGATTTATCCACATGTTTGACAAAAGGCGTCACGTTTCATGTTTGCACAAGCCCTAACTAACCTTGTTGTCTTTACAGTCTTGTGACACAAATTCAACCCCTGCATCAGGTGTTAAATATTAGACTTTTAGGGTCCGATAGTATTTATTGATTTATTTGACTTGCTTTGAAATTTGACCTGCTGAACAGGACGGAGCATTGGTTTGCTATCAGTCACTGGCTTAATTGATTGGTGCATCAGCAATGCACGCCTGTGACGGATGTGGCTCAGACAATGTAAGGATAACAGAAATTGTTGTGTTAAAGCAAATACAACAATCCCAGTTTTATTACATTCAACATTCTGGAGTATTTTCTTCATTTTCCAAAACACATTTTGAAAATAGTCTCCATTTACCGCTCGTTGTTTTGGAAATGAAAAGCTCTGATGATCCCTCCTGTTTCCCCCTCATGCTGTTCTTTTGACTCAGGAAAGTTCAGTTGCTCTGCAGGTGAGTTTTCCCCACTTTTGAAATTCCTCCACAGGCAAAACTTCATGTGTCGTGTGTGACCTTGTGTGACCTTGTGTGGTGGTTGGTTCTGCCTTCACAGCATGGCTGTGTTGTCTCAAGTTGTTCTCATGTGTTGTTCTGTTTCCTAACAAGGAAACCCCTTTGCTCTTATTGGTAAGTGGATTCCATCCATCCATGAGGCACATTAGTGAAATCAGCTTTTCTTCTCCATCCAGTTTATGAAAACATCCTCATTAAGGATTTTCAGTGTCATTATGCTTTTGTAACTGAAAGCAGATTATGGGATGTTTTATTCAGATTCCTGTTCCCTCTATGTACAGGCATCTGTACGTAGATGCCTGTATATATGCATACATATATACATGCATGAGTCTATGCATCACAAAACATTTTAGGGATGCACTGATGTGTAAATCTAGGCCAAAATTAACATTGCTGTCATGGCCGATAACTGATATTGACCAATATTATTAAGAACATTTTGCTTTTGACACTATGAAAAACATTGCTACTCTACTTCCCTTAAACACTCTCCCATCAATGTCACAGTCAAATGCCCAAGCAAACGCCACCCGTTATTAACGACAGCCACTTTTTATTTATTGGACTGATACCAATATTTTATAAATCGACTAAAAACAGCCAATAACAATTTAAATGCCGATTGTGCATCCCTAACATGGTTATATTTATTTTTGAGAACCTGACATGGCTTCTTGCTCTGTTTCAGTCATCTATGCTGACCTGCTGATGGACGACAATTTATTTTTTTTACAGTTGTGTCAAAAGAACAGCAGTCATCACTTCAATCAAAATAAGCATTTTTGTAGATCTTAAAATGCAACATGAGAAATAATCTACTATTAGGTGTAGTAGAGTAAACCTCAAAGGATCCAGCAGTCATTACAATGCAGCTGACAATGTAATGCTGCAGCTATCAGAAGAAGCTAGTGTTATGTCAGGCAATTGGCAAAAAGTTTTGTTGTTGCATAACCTAAGAACCAATCTATTGGTCTAGAAGAAACATTTTATGATCTGGTGAAAGCATGGTTGTTTATTGGATCTTGGGTTGTAGATAGGTGATCAGATGATCTTCTAACACTGATGTTAAGCCTCAGTGCAGGTGAAACGTCCTATAAAAACTAATGTTGGTCAGTGCCATAGTAAATTTCCTTAAGTTGTGTGTTTCAACAAGATAACAAGTCCAAACACTCCAGTAAAGGGATCAGCATCCTGAACAATGTTAGCATTACTATGGGATCAGACTATACCAATACCTTAATTTAACATAAAATTTATAGGCCCAAAAATATTGATTCCCTTCATGACTTTGAGCTCATTCTAAGACTGATGCATGTGCTGTGTGTATTTGCACTGTAAATGCATGGATTCTTAGGTTTAATTATTACATTTGTGGTCTTACTAGCTAAACTGACGCTGCTAAATTTTTGAAGCAAGCGTTTTTTTGTTGTTTTTTTTTTGGCTGAATTTAATCTGGAACGAGTACATTTTATAAATTATGATAAATTTTTTTTTTCTTTTTTCATCTTCCGAAGGAGGATGACGACGGACCTCCTGGCGCTCCTGAATATGACACGGTTTCTGAGAACGGCTTCTTGAGTCGAAATGAACCGATCCGCAGCAAGGTGTCCAAACTGACGGAGAGACTCCGGAAACGCTACCCTGCCACCAGCATGGGTCAGTCTGGTCTGACTCCTCTTTTGGACCCTTTTTTTTTGCCCACTTTTAGACCTCCTTGATGGGGAAGAAAAACCTTAAAGTGCATCAACTTTTCATTTTTCTCTCTTTATCTCCAAAGGCAACTGTTCCAGCTGCAATGCCGTCTTCTCAGTATTGAAGAAGAGGGTGAGACCCAAATTTTCCTTTTAAATGTTTTAGCTTTTACATCAGTATCAATTCTAACTCAATCATTTCCGTGGCTCCAAATTGAACTAATGTGTCTTTATGTTGCAGAGAAACTGCAGCAACTGTGGCAACAGCTTCTGCTCCCGATGCTGTTCCTACAAGGTGCCGCGGTCCTTCATGGGGGCAACAGGTGGGAATACATAATAATAAGATTAATACACACAGTCATGTTTGCATTAATTGCATTAATTTCAAGGAGTTAAATGTTCTTAACGTGGCGGTTTAAAAAACGGGTTTGCCAGTTTCTACACAAGTAAGAACTTGTGTAGAAGTTATCACTTCTACACAAGTTCTACAGAAGCATGTATGTTTATTGTACCTGGAACAACAGGTTTTTTAAAACAGTTTGTTCTTAAACTTGTTGTCCCAGGTTTAGAATAACATGTGACAACAACAAAAAAAAAAACTTAAAATTGAGCAAAGGTCTTAAATTTAATCCTGGCTGGATTTTTGAATTTAGTTTTTCTTTTTGGGGACTTTTCTGTTTGGAAAAGTTGTTGGTAATTTAGCACCAATTAGCTGGATGGCATGATTTGGTTCTGGCTGGCTCCTGCTGCCAACCTATAGGAGGCTAGATGCAGAAAAATGTTTAAGCTTGGCACTATGGGGGTTAAAGCTGTAGAAAGTGACTAAGCTAAAGGGGGGTTCGCTTCGATTGCTGCACTTGATTGTAATGCAGCCAGTTCCCCCAACCATGCCTAACATTTGTACTATTTTGTTCTGTATTAAAAAAAGCTACTGCGACTTTGAGGTGCATTTCTGTTCCAAACAACCTGAATCAAATGGCAGACTTCAGAAGTCTGGCAATAAGTCATTCATTTGATCCAGGTTAGAGCCTGTATGTATGTAAAAGTTGCAGGACAATGGGTTTGGAAGACCACTTCATGCGAGTTGATTCCAGTTGCCGTTTGTTTTTCCTGCTGCGTCTCATCTTCTGCTTCCTGTTTCTGTTTCAGCTCCAGAGGCGCAGAGAGAGACCGTGTTTGTGTGTGCTGCCTGTTTTGCCATTCTCAAGTTACAATGAGACGGCAAACTGATTTTCGTCTCCTGAGTCCTTCACTGAAACCCAAACCTACATGCTTCGGTTGTGTAGTAAAGGCTCGTACACGCTGTCCAGACAACTTCCCACGTGGAACTCTGGGACCCTCCTGCCTTTACCAGCTGCCATCCCTCTGTAAACCTCTCATGTGGCTTGTGGGATTGCTCCTGTAGTGTGTTTTTAGATGTTTCCTGCTAAATCTGTCAGTAATTGCGGTCGGACTTCACGAGTCTTTAAGGGTCGACACAGATCATTATGGGTTCTCCATCAAAGGAACCTACATTCATACTTCTCTCTAAGCTGAGAGACGTATAAATGCCAAAACCGGACAGGATGGATACCTCGGTATAGGTTTTTAATCTGCTTTACGTTTCCTGTCCTCTGGGGCAGATGAGTCATACTGAGAGGATTTTTCTATAAGAACAAAGTGAAGGGTGTTTTGCAAATGTGAGAGGCTTTCGGATGAACTCCCAAAGTGGACAAAACTGGAGTCGGTGCGTTCAAATTAATGATGGGTTAAAGTTCTGCGTCGGGCTTTGGCCAGCTAACGTGGAGATTGCATAGCTTTGCCTCGGTTATCATATTTTGTCGGCTTATCTGAACTGACGGGGGTAAATTCATCCCTTCACATTTAGAAGAAACGCCCAGTTGTGTTTCAGACGTGGTCCTGCTGCTGGTTTACTGCCTGTGACCTGAGGAAACTCACATGGAGTCAGCAAAATTTGAAGTGGAGGCGGAGGGGAAAAAAGCACAACGTTTAGCAGAACAAAGACTTTTACAAAAATAACTATCGACTTGCTGCCTCCTTCTGGTTTTATTGCTTCCGTGTGGGTAAATGCGCTTGTCGACGTGCCACAGCAGCATAGAAATCTCCAGACTCCTGAAGCTTCTCTTCGAACCAAACGGACTCTGGTCTAACCGGATGAAAGTCCCAGAATCCACCTGAAACATCCACCACAGCCTCACTCTGTCTTGCAAGCAGGACTTGACTTGAAGAACTGACGTTGTGTCGCGGTGAAGAGTCGATTTTTAATCAGACACAGATGATTGTAACTGTTTGCTTTGCTTTTATGGTAATTATATACATACACTGTTATTGTTGTTCTATATCTAATATATTTAATTTAAAACTCCAGAAAGTGCAGATTTTTATTTGAACAGCTTGTTTTTCTAAATAAATCTCTGGTCATTTTTTTTTTTAAGGTTTGTTTATGATATTGTAATAAACACAGAAAATGTAAACGATCAACTCTTGAGTAGAAGGTCAGGGTTGGTTTTTCTTCTTCATTAAAACGTTAACATTAATTCGAAAACAGTTGTAACCGCATCTTAACACTTGATGTACAATTTCTTATAACATTCCTCCCAGTTTTTAGCACAAGAATTAAACTTTATTTTGAATTTTATTACTCAGAGTTCTTTTCTTTCCTTAAAAGCAGTATACACACATATTATCAGTTTCTCTTTTTGATGCTCCTTGGCCTAATTTTGGCAGGTTGTATTTTTACATAACTTTGAAAAGCTTGAGTTCAATCTTTAAAGGCAGTTTGTCTTTTAACTGAGCTATAATGTCAGTACTAAGCAGTGGTGTAAATGCTTATGGTTTCCATAAATGTTCCTGCTTCTATAAACACTTTTGTTATGTCGTAAAATAGGTCCCATGTCTTTAATTGTTGATATGACTGAAATAGTTTGATGTAAAATTGCATCTAGGTTCAGTTCCTGTTGTGGACAGATGGGATCATCTGTTGTCAAGCGTGCTCTGCTCTGGTCTGTCCTGGTGAAGAAAGACGTAAGAGTAAATGAAAAGCTCTCTTTATCAGGGTGTTTGCATCCTTAAAGTCTTAAATCTTACTAGCTAAGTCTTAAATGTCTAAAAATTAAGGCCTTAAGTGGTGGCATCTCCTCCCGGTGGGATCTTTTCATCTGCATCCATCAGATTAAAATGTTCTTGTTGGAGCAGTGTTTCCCAATTCCAGTCCCCGGGGATCGTTGCCCTACATGTTTTAGGTGTTTCCCTTACGCCCTACAGAAGTTGATTATTTCAAGGCTTTTGAAATACTTGGTGGTGGGCAGAGGATGTAATCATCTGTGTGGAGTGTTCTGGAAAAGATGCATCTACATCATGCTGGGCAGTGGTTCCTGAGAGCATAAAACTGCCTTCCACATTTCACCCCTACCAAGGAACATTATTCAGACTCTGAATTAACTGAGAACATCGAAATCAGAGCATCACTAGAACATTTTATACATATGAATGTTTAAAAAAAAGAAAGCCCCAAAATTGACCCAATAATCCCTGAAAATTCCTATTTTGCAGCGATAAAAACAGCAGAAATCCTCAGCCGCACCCTTTTCAACTGTCTAACTCTGACTCCGCCCCTTCCTACTTAGCCCCGCCCCCCGCGTTAAGCCCCGCCCTTGGTCCTCCGCGTCCCACTAAAGCGATTCCAGCTCCTGTCGGGATTCCTCCCCGCGTTCACGGATGGCAACATGGCGACAGAGGTAAGACGAAGCGAAGCTCCGTGTTCTGTTGCTCTCCCGGCCGGGGAGCGAGGCTCCGTTGTAGCCATTTGTCCGTAGAAATGAGCCCAAACAGACGCTGCGGGTCCGCCGGTGCGGTTGACGCGGCCGGTGGGGGGCGTCGGGTCTGCGCGCGCGGTCAAACTGATCTAACCGCACTTCCCCTCATTCTGGACCTGCCCTACATTGCCGCACTCAGAGCCGCGGAGCCCTCGTTTCTACTCGAAACGACAAGGATTGTTTGCGTGGTGAGGGGCTGCGTGACGTGGGTGGGCAGGTTTATGAGAAACTTAACCGGTCGCCCCCCCCTCTACCCCCTACATGTTAAGCTGTTTTGGTGAAAGCAGCTCTATTTTCCTCCACTGTTGTTCCCTCTTAATCCGGCCACAGGCCGCTGTCTGCCTGCTCTCTGTCCTGAAACACGCAGGGAAGGCGTTCAGCACCACGGACAGAAGCCACGCCACGCAGACCTTCAGCCGCCACTGCTTGCGAGGTCCGCCTCGTCTCGTTTCGACCTGTTTGCGAGGTGTGGTGAAGTGTTGCACCTCACCTCTACAGTCCCAGATTGATTGATCGATCGATCGATCGAGAGCCGCGTCCCACCAGATCAGAGCTTCTGTCTGCACACACAGGAGCTTGATGAGCTGCACACGGGGACAGAGCTTGTCCAGGCGCGCTGAACCTCACTTGACGTCTCGCTTTCTGTCCCAACTCAGTTCCACAACCTGCAGGAGTTGAGGCACAGCGCGTCTCTTGCCAACAAGGTTTTCATCCAGAGGGACTACAGCGAAGGGACCACATGCAGGTTTCAGACCAAGTTCCCGTCGGAGCTGGAGAGCAGGGTGAGGAGAGGATTTTCTGGCCGGTGTTGTTGTTTTAGAGGGATCCATGAACGGGTGGACAGACACTTGTGGACCACCCTGCTAAAAAGAAAAACAAACGTTTGAAAAGTCCACATATTATTATCATTATTTTGAGAAAACCTACTTTTAATTAGAGTACCTTTACGCAAATGAAGAAAGAAAGTCACGTTATGAAATGTTTGCTTTGACAACAGAGTCGCTCATAGCTTATATTAGCTGCGTTTTTTGTCCAGATTCTGCAATTACTCACTTTCATTGATCATTGTTTAAATTTGGACGTTTTGCAGTTAATTCCATGTTTTAGGATGAGGAAGGATTTGGAAGAAGAAAAAAAAAGCCCAAAGCATCACAACTAGTTTGTACCTAAAATGATTCAAACCTCCATTTCAAGTTAAGGTTACTGGCAAAATTCAAACTTGTTCACACACAGCAGACTTCTGTGTTAGAGCACACGTTTACAAATCTGTCCCGGTCTCATGCACACATGATGTAGCAACTTCATTAAAGGCATCCAGAGTGCAGAAGATAAAACATAGTAAAAAAAAAACCAAACTGGACTGTAGCATTGTGTTGCTTGTTAGAAATAAGTCGAGAGAATAGCCCAAAGAGTTTAGAGACAGTTGCACTGCGAAAGCAATGGAATGGGACACAAAGAGGCAGCAAAGGTTACGAAATGTCCCTAGAGTTAAGCCTGGAGTCATAGTTTAAAGTTAAAGGGACCGTGGGACAGTCTGCCCAGAAAGACGACACGATCAACTGATGCCACTAGATTTCTGAGAACACAGGAGGTGAAAAACGTTCTGGCGACTGAAAAATGGCAGCAGGCGCTGAAGCAAGGCCGCAAATGACTGCATGTCTCACTCACATGTCTTCCGATGTTTCTCACCCTTCTTTAAATAACGGCGGGTCATGATGTGTCTGCAGATTGAACTGACTCTGTTTGAGGAGACTGTGAAGACACTGAACAACTTCTATGCAGAAGCAGAAAAGATCGGAGGCCAGTCGTACCTGGAGGGCTGTCTGGCGTGTGCCACGGCTTACCTCGTCTTCCTCTGCATGGAGACTCGCTACGAGAAGGTCAGATTTTTTTTAGGTGAACGCATTCTAAAGGTTTAGATTAACCAGACATAAAGCCCAAACAGGTTCTTACCCCTTCCTTGTACAATCTATTTGTCAGGTGTTGAAGAAAATAGCAAAGTACATTCAGGAGCAGAACGAGAAGATCTATGCTCCCAGAGGTCTGCTTATCACTGATCCCATCGAAAGGGGGATGCGTGTTGTATCCTTGCTTGCAAGTGTGCCTGGATGTCCATTAGTTTGGAGTGGGCACTCGTGAGGTGGCAATAAATCTCAGTGTTGTATGAAGTGCACTATTCAGCATCTAAAGTCAGCCGAACTGCTTGTTATTGCTATTAAGGCTACTGTTAAGGTCGCCTGAAATTGCATCTGTGAAGACGCAATTTGTTTCTTTTTTCTTCTGCATCCCTGCATGTAGGTGACAGAAATGTTCTTTTAGTTTCTCAAAAGTACGTTGGAGATTCTCAGAATCCTTCAGAATCCACTGTCTGCATGGAAGTAAAAACCTTAGGTTGAAATACTCCGTTCATTACTCTGGTCATTTTATAGCAAAAGTGTTGTGAAAAAGAACTGATCCTTGTGGAACTCCCTTATGTAGGGAGAACTTACATAAACAAACAATCCACAAATTGCTGGTTTACAAAATTATGTAAGATGTTCAATTAACATCCAGTGAGAAATTGAATGAAAGTCTTTAAAGGGACTTAAATGTCTAAAAATACAGAAATGTGTCCACAAGAGATTTTGCTGCATCTTTGACGAGCATCCAAGCAACAAATGTCAAGCTGTGTCACACTTCTTTGGCCCCTAACTACGTCCCCCAGATCGAGATATCCATCTACGAAGACCGGGGTTCCAGCGGCTCCAGCTCCAGCAGCAGTTCGGTGTCTGGCAGCACCGCTCGATGACCGGGCGCAGAGCTCTCCCTGCAGGAAAACCTAGGACAATAACAGCACTCACGTTCCAACAGCCTTCACATCACATTCACGTTCACGCCGAGCGCTCACCAGCCTCCACGGCGATGTTTGTCACCTTGACCTGTCATCACACAGTTGCTCCACAGTAGTCAAAACACGCACTTTAGCCGCCTCAAAGATGTGAACAGGTAACATTCACCTCAGACAGGACTCACCCACTCAGTGTAACGGCAAGAAATCAAGATAAAGCAAGTGCCCCAACAAGGTACAAATGCTTTTTTTTTTTTTGCACCACTTGATATGACACCAATGCAGTTTGCTGGCTAAAGAAAACCACATTTATTCTTGATTGCGTTTCATGAACCAGTTTAGACCAATTCCTTATGCAAAAACCAGATTTGTTGTAGCATTGGAACCAACCTGGGGGGACCCCTATTGGTTTTCAGAGACGATACTGTACCTTTAACGTTAGACGAAATGTGACCACATTTACTCAATGGGACCGATCGGTCACCTTCCTGTTCGTTTAAGAACTATCCTTTATGGTCTATGAATGGGATCTGTTGTCTACATATACAGATACATTTTCACCATCTTTTCTTTCTGCTCTCAAAACAAAACAAAAAGAAAGAAAGAAATAAAGAGTGAAAGGAAGAAGGAAAGGAAGAAGGGAAGAAAGAAAAAGGTGCCAAGCCAAGTAAAACCATAAACTTCACTAAACCTTTATACCTCAACTAACATCCAGTAGGTACACAACAAAGCCCAGATCCCTCACCAATTAGAAGGCTTCAAATCAACCCTTCACATCAGAGGGTTTTTTTTTTTACGTCAGGTTTTCTGTTACTCAGCTTGACTCCAGAGGTAGCTGCAGTCAGTGTGACGCCACCGTAAAGTTCACTTGCCAAAAGCTCAGTAAACCAGGGTCGAGCATTTCTTCCTGTTTTACCTCCGATGTTTTCCACACTGCCTGAAAGCAGATGAATGTCAACCCACTTTAGTGTACCATGTAGCAGATCTTCTGTATTTTTCACTCTTTACGCCTGCGTTTTCTTTGGTGGACATGGAAAAACATGAGATCTACCCTGTTCCGTTTCAGCGGGAGAGGCAGACTCTTCCGAAGTGTAGATTATGCAAGGGCTCACTGTGAGTTATGTCTGGTTGTGAGGAGAGAAAGAACAGGTCAAAACGTCTTCCTGAATATTACTGTCATTTTAAAAATACACCTGCCCATCCTTGATTCAAACTTCCAAAGAACCGTAACTGCCAAAAAGAAAAAAAACCCAAGAGGCTCATAAATGTGAATGTCACTTTTATTTTTGTGTTTTCAGAAAGTACAAGTTTTCATACTGCTTGTTTACTACATGTGGCATAAAGGTCAAACCAAAAGGTGTCAAATAAACTGTTTCATCACGGCTTTTGTTGTTGGTCTTGTCATTCATCTGTATTTTAATTGCGTCTTTATTTGTCAAATCATAAGTCAAGCAGCTTCTGGATAAGTTTTGATAAGATGCTTATTACAAGTTTTGCAGGGCTTTCATTTGAGTAGCGTTGGTTTTTCTCTTTCAAAGTTGCGTGATTTAATGATGTCTGTTTTGAAAAAAAAAAAAAGTTCAGTGCAAGTAAAAATACAACTAATTAAATTTGAATACCCTCAAGACTTTGTCCTATTTGTAGATTTAGAATTTGTCTTTTCAGCTTCTTCAAAAATGCTTGATGGAATTTCATACCAAAGTCTGCTTCCAAGTAAAAGTCACTAGATGTTTAAATTCCCCCTTTCACTATTCAGTTAAAATAAAAGCAAAAAGTATAATCGGTAAAAGATGAATGCATCAAGTTATAGCCAGTATCTTCCATATTTAAAACACTAACTTGTCCTTCATTATTCTGAAAAATAACATTTTTGCAAGTGAAATATTTGCCTTTGAATTTAGTATGGTAAAAAAACACATGACAAAATATTCAGTGCTATAGAGTCAATGTCGAAAAAAGTCTGAATTAAAGGTTAGTTAATAAGCCAATCATATTTAAGCAAGAGAAACGTGAAGGGTGCTGCAGCGGCCTCTTGTGGATCAAAATGAACATGACATTTAAAATATTAGCATCAGTATTCAAAGGGTAAGATTTTGTTGTTGCTGTTACTAATCTGCTGTAAGGTCAGAAAATCAGTCTTGTGTTATTCAGTCAACCTTTATTGCAGACACAAGAAAGGTTCTTAAAACTGGAGACAAAACAGACACATATTAAAAGAACAATAAGATAAAAGGTTCTGAAAAAAAACAAACAAAAAAAAAACTGTATTTGATGTTCTTTGATGAGTCACAAATGCTGATTCCACAATCTCGAGGAAAATCTCATAATCTTATTCAGCGGCCAGAAAAAAAAAAGTTTCCAATTCAAAGTAAATTCGAACACAACAGATTTATGTTGCTTTTTTTTTTAAACTAAAATATCTGGCCCTTCAGTGTTTTCCCCTCGTCGTCTTTGACTCTCTGTCCATCAGTAGGTGCAAAAACAACTCGACCTACTTTAGCCTTACAATCACATTTTATGAGCCATAGGAAATACATCAACCATTATTAACCAATACTGTTATTTTTCCCTCTTCATCTCATCCGTCTTGCATTAATCAGGTGAAAAAACACGTTCATAATGAGTAGATTAGTGACAAATGTAAATGAGTTATTAGTTAGCTATATTGATCTGTTGATGAGCATCTTTAAATATTTATTTGCCCTCAACGCATGCTTTGATACTTTAAACTTGTGGCAACGTTCGCTGTGTGCATTTCTGTCCCCCGCCACTTGTTACACACCGCCAAAAACCTTCAGGAAAAAACACGTCACAGTTTCCGCATGCAGTCGTTTCAGCCGAAACAAATCGGCGACGCGTGGGCAGCAGGATGCCAAAGACTGTGAGCCCTTTCAGATGCTCTTTGGTGCCGGCGTGCGGAGCTTGATGAAAACCATGTTGTCAGTTCGCTGCAGACAACTCTCACCTCAGATCTGCCAGCGCAAACAGCGCCGTGGCGGACAAGAGTGAAAATGTGTCACGACGGGACGCTCGAGAGGAGGCCACTGAAGAACGGAGGCCATAGCGAAAAGGTGCCAACGCTGCATGGACGGAGAGACAGCAGAGAACAAAAAAAAAAACAACAGAAAAAACACAATGAAAGGGTGACACACCAATATGGAATGGAGACAAAGGTCTAAAAAGTGGACAAAGTAACTGAATTTTCTGACAAAAGAGCTACATTCACACTGGCTTTGTTTTCTTCTCTTCTCGGCTAAAAACCTAACGTGCTAAATGTTTAAGTTTTTGTTTTCAGCTGCTACCAAAGTACAATGAATGCTAAAGGTACTTAAAGCCCTGCCACACTTTCCAGATTGTTTTTATCCAAAATTTTTGGAAAACATTTTCTATTTCACTTCTAACCATTCGGTTGTCTGTTGTGTTGAGCAACTGCGTAAAATACTTGGAAGTTTGGGGTTGTAGTCAGACAAAGAGGGAAGGTTTAAGGGATGTGAAGAGTTTTTCAAGGCTTTGCAAGAGAAGAAAGCTGAAGCAAAAAAAAAAAAAACAAAACAGACTGCAATTCCACAAAATGACAATCTGACCCAACGTAGTGAAATAAAGCACTTTATTTAACAACTTTTTAGTGCAGTAAAAATAAGAAGTTAGTGAAAATAAAGAGAAATTAAAACAATGAAACTACTCATAGAGTAAGAAAACAAGATGGCCTTTTCAAAAGCACAGATCCACAGGGAAAGGATTCAAAGGCAGACTCTCTGTGGGAGGTCACAGAAACCCTTTAATGGTTTTTCATGAAATTTTCCTCAAATACCTGCTGAACAAAACAAAAACGTAGAATGTAAAGTAAAAATAACACAAATTAATATCTAAAAATATTTTCAGTATTTTGGTGTTCATTCGACTTACCTTCACAACGCCCATTCCTGACGGTGAAGCCGTTCCCACACTGAAGAACGAAGAAAAACGTCACAGTCAAGACAGAATGGATTTTTTCTCATTCTGTTCTATTAAGGCGGTTTTATGTAGACGAATTAAAGGGGAAACGACCGAGACGCGTCGGTTAAATTCACTTACAGGAGAGCTGCGCTCGTTCACAAGTCATGCCGTGCGTCGGCGCTGTGTACCTGCGTGTCGCTGGCGAGAACAGACGCGCCTCCGTTCCTGGGGTAGGCGACTTCCACCACAGAGTTCCTTTCTCCAGCCTCCAGAGCCCGAGTCATGGTGGTGCCGTCTGGCCAGGAGACCTCCAGGACTTTCGCCTCGTCTGTTCCTGGAAGTTACATGTGTTTAAAAAAAAAGTTATAAAAACAAGACGGGGGGGGGGAACAGCAGCTCAAAACAAGCTTCTAGTTCTGCTTCTGGCAGTTTGCATTTTGTCATAAGAAACTCAATGTTTGGCCTTTAATTTCTTATTTTAAGAGAAGCTGAAGTTTTAGCTGTCATTAAGCCTCAATCATAAAAATAAACAGAAGTGCATGTTTTAAATACAGTTACTTAAGTACAGAATAAATGTATGTAGTTCTGCACCTACATTAATTAAACCAACATATTTACTAAGATACTGTATTTCGTTTTCACAATTATTCAATTGAGATCTTCCCAGTCAACATCTACAGTAGCATGCTGATGTATTGTACCTAATCCAAAGTGGGCGACAGGCTCCATCTCACACAGGTACCCTGAGCCTCCGTCGATGATGCGTGTGAGAGACCCACTCTGAGCGGTGAAGACCGTAACCTTGGCACCACGAGCAAACGCCCCAAACTGGGTACGAGGAATGACCCGCAGCCAATTGTTGGACGCTCCCTGACGGCGAGGACAATCGTTTGTCAGCCCCACGTTGAGCCGCTTCGGGCCAGAAATGAACAAACGTGCAGTGAGACACACACCTGTTTGACCTTAAAGACTGAGATTGGCTGCTGGGCGCTCTCCCCATGAGCCAGCAGCAGATCCAGCTGTCCGTCCCCGTCCAGGTCCGTCACAGTTCCACCTGTCAAACACACAGACTCCCTTTGTTTTTTATTATTGCATTGACCTGATCCAGCATGTGGCTGCAGCTTATCTCATGTATTGCTCAGAAACGATAAAAATCTGAAACCGACCCGTTCCTCGCCCCTGCGGCTCTGCAGCGTCTCCCACTAAAAGCTCATGGATCGAAGGGTCTGCATTAACTCTTCTTGACACCCTGCAGATGATCAAAAACGGCTAAAAACAACCCATTTAAAAGAAAATACATATAACGCCTCAGTTTACCTCTGAGTTGCTAAATGAGTATGATTATACATTGTATTTCTGAAAATCTTGCAATGTAACCTGAACAGTCTGTTTGGTGCGTATCCTCTGTAGGCAATGTTGTTGAAGAACACCTCCAGCTCCTTGTCATTATCGAAGTCGGCAGCGATGACGGTGCGGATCGGGGACGGAGAAGCAAAATCTGTACTGGCAATGTTCTGTCCCCCAAAAATATAGAAAGTCTCAACTTTATAGAAGCCAAGATCTTGACGATTTTTTCCAAACGTTGTCCCCTTTTTTTTTTTTTTTTGCTTACGCGGAACTTGAAGTCGCTGGTCTGAAGGTAGAGTCTGTGTGGGCCATTCCAGTTGCCGTAGACGATGTCTGTCTTTCCGTCACCGTTGAAGTCAGCCAGAGCTACTCCCCTGCCATGCTGGGCCCGGTCCTCCACACCTTTACTCAGGGAAACAACAAAATTGAAGAATATTGGCCTTTTTTTTTTTTTTTTTTTGAATGTGGAAAAGGTTGAAATGTGAAAACAAAAGCTGAAAAGCAGAAAATGCGGGAAATATTGCTTTATACCCATTATGTTAAATTTCATTTTCTTCCCTTTCGAGTTCTTTCTTACCCGCCTGTTGGGCCATGTCCACAAAAGTCCCATCTCCGTTGTTCTTGAACAGGAAGTTGGCACCGTTCTCATTGTCGCAGAACACGTCGGACCTCATGTGATTGAGGATTGGGCCAACGACCACACCGCGACCACCTGAAGAGTGCGGAGTGAAGCTTTCAGCTCTGGTTAGGATCTCTTTATAAGAAGTGGCATGCTCCAGCTTTGCAGTTTCCTCTCTGACCTGTGAGCTTGTTGACTCCGGCCTGAGCAGCGACGTCGGACAGGGCAATGACGCCGTTGGACACGTCACTGGCGCTCTCGTCCATTTCTAAGAGGGCGTGTGGACCGACCCTTCCTTGGGCGTAGTTCGCCACGTAAATGGAGTACCGACCTGTTCCCTGGAAAACACCATCAGGTTGAGTGGAACTTTTTAAAAAAAAAATAGAAAACAACAACAACTTAAAAACCACAGGGAATCCCTGAGCAAAAGACCTTTCTGTCGACACAAGCAACTGAACGTCCAGCCATTTGATTGGCGACTCCCCGGCGGACGTTGAGTTCGTCGCTGAGCAGATCTTCATAGCGACCGTTGCGAAACTTGAAAAGCTTGTCTGAATACGTAGCCCGTCCTGCAGAGACAGACACTGAGTAAATCTATTTGCAGAAAATTTGCATTGCTGAGTGTTTCTGTGTTCAGGAAGTTTACCAGAGTAGGCGTTGTTGGTGTTGAGGAAATAGATCTCTTCACGTCCGTCTCCGTCCACATCGCAGGCGGTCACTCCAATTGCATTTCCTGCCCTGTCCCTAAGTGCATAGTATGGGGAGTCTCTGTTGTCCAGGGCGATGTTTACCAGCTTATTTTGGGTGCTGTTGTACTTCAGCACCAGATTCGGACCGTTGTATCTGAGAGAGAGAGAGAACATATCAGGTGTTTGTTGTACTTGAGTGTCACTATCCCATCACCGCACCCATCTCTGCAAATATCACCACATACCCGGCGACCACCACTTCTAGGTCTCCATCACCGTCCACGTCCGTCACAGCCATGCCGTAGTTGAGCTGTGTGGGGTTGTGCACGCTGTCAGGTGGCAGCATGGTCTGTGTTACGACCCGGAACATGGGCTCAGAGTTCTGGCCCTCGGACCGATGCCACGCCGCGAGCAGGAGGAGCAGCACTCCTGAACGCAACATCACTAAAACCTGATAGAAAGAAGGAAGCCGGTTAATGCAGCTCAGTTTAAAATGAGTGATTCTATTGATTCATTATTAAACATGTTACATTATGCTGGATTTGATTAACTGTCAAACAGTATTATTTTAGCAGTGTGAGATTAACAGAATAGAGATGCATCCACATTCCTTGAGCTTCTCCACATTTTGTCATCCATGCATTGTCTTGTGATTTTAAGCAATAAATTCAAGCAAAAAAAAAAGTACAAATTATGAAATTGATAGATATTATAAGTTTACACTACTTTCTGCAGCTTTGCATTCATGATTTCTTTTAGTTGTTCCATCATCTATTCAATTGTATTATTGCTTTATTTAGTCATGATAAAGTTGTGCATTTCTGTCCAAGCCCTTTTTGCTCCAGCCTATAAACCCCTTCACAAAATCCTTTAGAAGTCAGCTTAATGTTCCTCTCTTACCGCCTCAGTGAATGGAGATGCACAAATGTAATCCCCCTGCAGTGAGCCGTATGTTCACGACTCAGTGTTTCATCAACTGTGTTCAGCGCTGTGCACCTTACACAACTGCAACGTTTCACGTTTATGAAACATCTTGTGTAACGTCTGCGAGTCTGACCAATCACAGAGCATCTTTCTGAAGGGAAGATATGTTGGTCCAATGGGTGTCCCGCATTCTTGTGGGCGCGACGTTGAGACCCCCTGGGTACGTTCCTTAACAGTCAGCCGGTAGGCGAGTCGTTTGAAAGCGATGAGAAAGCGGAGTGAGTGGATGGGTTTGACACAGGGCTGCCCAAAGTCGGTTCTGGAGGGCCGGCAGCCGGCATGTTTTAGTTCTCTCTCTGGTTTTACGCATCTGGATCAAATGATGGCCTGAGAAGCACGCTGACATGCTGAAGAAGTTGTTGGTACCACCAAAAACCAGAGACACTGAGAGCGTGTCAGAAACTGCTGATTCACTATGGTTTTTATACAGTGACAAACCTTTCTCTGGAGGAAATGTTATAATCTAACACTTTATACCAGATTAAAATGTGTGAACACAGCACCGTTGAACACCTTTAGGTATAGCACTAATACCAGTCGGTTCAATCTGAGTTTCATTCACCTTGGACAATGTGATGAAGAATGAAACATATATGGCCAGAGATTAGGTTCTGGCTATAATCAAGTCTGTATTAAATATCCTGCAAATTCACTATTTTTAATTTTAATTATTTTTTTTTATCTTGGTCAACAAAGAAAATCAATCAATCAAGAATATTGATTATTGATTGATTGATCAAGAATAAACCCGTAAGAATATTTGAGTGAAAAACAAACAAACAAACAAACAAACAGTAAAGGTGCATCCAGGTTATTTATCTACATTGATATAATGCGCAAACCACCACTCCAGTTTCCTCAGCGGGCCCAAAAAAAATGGCGCGCACCCAATAAAATTCGTTTGACTTGTAATTTATATAAAGACACATATTTGTTTGTCTTTTGTCACCACAGCAGAAACACCGGCCTATTAAAATAGACCGTGTTTTTCTGACTTTCCATCTGGGCATGCGTCAGCGCTGCTCGCGGTTGTAAGGTCGGTTCGAGACGCGAAGAGAACTACGTCTCCCAAAATGCTTTGCCCGTTGATGGCGCTTTCGTCATCGAACGCGACAAAATCTGTTGCTAAACAAACCCAGCACAGGTAAGCTAAAGCCAAAATGTGTCTCAGATTTGAATGAGTTGAATGAAAGAAGTATGTTTTCGCGAAATTAGCTAAATGTATCGAGTGAGGTTACCTTTTAAGTGACGTAAACTCTAATATACCGATTTTAAGATTTCGAAGATAGTTGCCATTTCATCCGTCGCTGTGAAAGTAATTATCTCCGCTTACTGCAAATTTGTAGAAATCTGAATTTGAACATGGAGGTGGAGAAGCCAAAAGAAGAGGAGCAAAAGGGGGGTTGCGCTGAAAACCAGCAAACATCGACGGATGCCTGTCAGTCAAAGAGGCCCAACCAGGCTCTGTACGTCCCCAAGCAGCGACGCCAGGACGCTAAAGACAAAACTCCCACTCAGGGAAAGGACAAACCAAGACCCAAACCGCGATATACAGACAAGGCTCGAAAGAACGCCAAGAACAGGAAGGACAAGGCCAACACCGCGGCAGCTGCAGGAGGCGCAGACGCTCAGAGCTGTGACGTGCAGGAGGAGAGGCTGCAGGACGAGCAGGTGATGGTTAATGGGCAGGAAGAGGCTGAAGCTTCATCACAGCAGGATCCGGCATCCCCCCAAGATGAGAAGGAGGACAGCTGGGAAACTTTGTTCAATGATGAAGGAGACTGTTTGGACCCACATCTCCTGGAAGAGGTGAGGGCTGTTTGTGGGTTTTAGCCTCTGTGGCTCTTAATCAGCATTCATCTTCTCCAGCATATTGTGCATACCGTTTTTGGTGGGGACCTCAAATATGTATACAGGAATCCCCACTGATATTTGGTAGCTTGGAGCAGAGTTTACTCCAACCCTGGTCCTGAATGCACACCGCCCTGCATGTTTTAGGCGTTTCCTTGCTTCATCCCCGCTGATTCAATTGATGACTGATTAACAGGCGTTGGATTATTGGCACAAAATCCACTACCGATGTGCCACTAAAACCATAAATGATTATCTTAAAAAAACCCAAACATGCACACATCCAATAAAATCAGCTGAATCAGGTGTATTAAAGCAGGAAAACACACAGGGATGTGTGCCTTGAGGACCAGAATTGGGAACAACATGACTATATGATTAACAAGATCATTTTTTGTTGTTGTTGTTGTTTCTTTGTACATGATTTTGGCCGCCTGATATTTCACCACTATTCTAGTCAGAAATGGAGGAGCTCATTTAAATTGGTTGATTTTTCTAGAACAAAGCTGCTTTTTAAGGCTAATCTATAAATTCTTGATAGAGTTGAGATCAGGTCTTTAAGAAACACGACTTGTCAATTCCCAAACCAGCTTTGCTGTGTTTGTGGTAGGTGTCATGTTGGAACACCAAAGTGTGCCCAGGCTTTAGCCATCTAATCTAAATTGTTACCCTTCAGAAAATGGTCGTTCAGGAACTAATAAAGCTCACACTCATTCTAAAGAGGAAGCTACTTAAACCCCAATTCAGCTTAACATCTGGTTGGACCTACCAAGAAAGAAGCTCCTGCTCCAATAGTGACAAGTTCAAGCTTTGCCCACTTGGACACACATTAAAGCCTTCAGAAGAAAAGTTTCATGGTCAGATGAGTCATAGACTGAGCTTTCAAGAGGGCTGCATCAACTGTCTAGCATAGTGGTTGATTCATCATGCTGAGGGTCATACTTCACCTCCAATCAACTCAGATTGTTCAAACTTTGACACAGTTGGAGAGTTACATTAGTGTCTCCTTTCATTCATATCTTGTGTCTCTCGTCACTCAAGCTGGCTCTGAGCGAGGGCAGAAAGAAGAAGTCGAAACAGGAACCTAGATTTGACTACTACAATATGGACGTGGACGACGAAGACGAGATTGATCTCACAGAGGACGAACTGTCCCACATTGTGGAAATCTACGACTTCCCCGCAGAGTTTAAGACGGAAGACCTCCTCAGGTTATTTCAGTGCTACCAGTACGTATACGTCCATCCATCCAATTGTCTACCTTTATGGAAAAATGCGTCAATATTTTGATAATTACTCTGTTTAAATCAAACTTTGTTGAGTTTTTCTAAAATCAAGCACAGTTGTGCTTCTGTTGCCTCCCTTCTTGCTCATTGGATGAGTAACATTCCTGAATCCGAGTTCATTCTATTTTAGGCATGGTAATTTATGGACGCTCATTCTAATAGCTTCTATTTTTTCATGTACTTGTGATTATGCATCTGAAGTAATATTAGATAGTTTGGGCAGAAGAAAAAACTTTTAAAGGAGCAAATTCATGGGTTATTAAATTGCACCAAATCTTTGGCTTATTATTTGCTGGTGACACAATCACATGCATTCTTTAAGCATGAACCATTCCCAACACAACTAACTTGATCTAGTTTGATTTAAAATGTCTCCAGATTTTGCTCATGTTCAAATTGGGGAGTTTAAATCAGCTGAGCAAGAACCATCTTTGATTGAGGGTTGTCAGGTTTTATGAAACGATCGGTGCTAGATTCATGCGACTGGTGGCTGGGTTTTCAGACAGAGAGGATTCGACATCAAGTGGATTGATGACTCGCATGCCCTGGGTCTCTTCTCCAGCCCCATAGCAGGTGAGTGAAGCTTTGCATCGCTCTTAGCACCATCACTGGTCCTTTCCTTTCTACCACGTTTTGTATGTCTGCAGCTTCGGCCATTTTAACCCCAGTATTTTGGGTATATATAGATATATAAAAAAGTGATGTGCCACTGGACGTTTTCTACCAAACTTGAATCAATTCATAACCTGACTATGTGACCGTGGAGGTGTGTCAAACTTGCTTTGACTGCAGATGATTTGAAGTAATCTTCTATCATCTACTCATAGTCTACTTTAAGGAAATACATTAATATAGGTCCAAGCTCGTAGCTTTTAAAGGCATGGCTACGAGATGGTTTGTTTCTGGAGAAGGCTGGGAGGAAATGGTCGAGTGTGTTAATGAACATTAACAGAGCCTACTCATAATACATCACTTAAGTGTATCAATATCGTAATATAAATGGAGCACAAGGTCTGCTGCTTCATTGTTTTGTTTTACTTTTCACTTTCCAGCCCGAGAAGCTCTCAGAACCAAACACCCTCTGATGAAGTTAAGACCACTTTCCAAATCCTCCAACGCCACCAAGGCTAAAGCCCGCAGCTGCTCAGGTACAACTGCATGTTGCCGTGTTTCTACTTTACATTAATGTCTCTGTCGTATTTTGATTTGCTGCCAAGAGCCACAGACTGACGCCAGAAATTTCAGTTTTTTGCTTTGTTTTATTGTACAGCACTATCTCCCAACTACCCCCATATTTGGATATTGAGGTGGTTGGATCATAAATTTCATTCAAGGTGGGATTCAAAAAAGGTCTTAAAAAGTCTTAAACTTGATCTTCTGAAACCTGGAGATACCTCGATTAGCTTTTCCCACTAGAAATATTGAAAAAAAAAAAAAAAAGAAAAGAAAACTCCTGCATAGTTTAGTTTTATCAGTAATTCCAGCTGGTTAAGACCAGATTATTTGATTCTGGATTCTTGGAATGAGCAAAAAATGCAAACGTTTATGCTTTTTAAATTTTTTTTTTTAAAATAAACAGTAATGTATTAATATTGATCCAGAGAGAGTAGCTAAGACATTTTATCTCCCTGTTCTTATTATAAGACTACCTCCTGCCTGCTAAAGAGCGACCTCAGACGAGCGCGGCGCTGGCTCGGAAGCTTGTGATCGGAGCACTTGGTGTGAAAAGCAACTTAACAAAGGAGCAGCGAGAGGCAGAGAAGAAAAAACTCCAGCAGGCAAAAGGTACATTTACACAAACACATGAAGTTTACCTTTGCTTAAGTTGCTTAAGTTTTAAATGGAAGATTTTTTTTTAGTATCATAAAAATAAACTTTCTGACAGAATGTCTAAATATCAGACAGAAAACCAAGCCAAGGTCAGAAATAAGAATTTATTGAAATGTGGCGCAACCTCCCTCCCCTTATCTGCATGTGCACCGCATGGTCTCTGCCACAAGTGGGGGCTGTTTGCACATTGTCACAGACCTGAGTGGAAAGATGCAAACCGATGCCAAGAGAACTCCATCAGTTGCTGTGCTCATCACTGCAGCTCTATAATCAGCATAGCAGCCATTTTCCTTCATGGAGGGAACATAAGTATATAGGCACAGAAAACCACAACTGCAGCCCAACAAGCAGTCAGTCCAGGAAGCAGAGGTCCGGAGTGCAGCAAACTAAAAAAGCTGCTTTGTTCTCAGCATAGGCGCACCATCAAGCTCTTTATTTAAGATCTGTAAATGCACAGTAAATGTGAGTACAGAACAGCATCACGTGTTAAACTGTATGTTCTGGGAAAGTGATGCCACATATAAAAAAATAACTTCCAGCTGGCTCCTCAGTCTTGCCACCCGCTCCTCACATCCCTACTTGTGGTAACAGCAGATATATATTTAGATCATTGATTCACCTTCTGGGAGATTTTTATTTTTTTTTCTTTCTATAGATGCTTCCACGTCTTCATGTGGGTAACATGTTTGCGCTTGTTGATTTACCTTTCAGAAGAAAAGCGTCTGGCAGCAAAACAAAGAGAAGATGCTTGGGAGGGAAAGTGAATGGACGCAACAATTTTTATTTTTATTTTTTTTGTTATTTTGTTGAAAATTACTTGAACTTCAAGTCTGGTTTTCTGTCAACCAGCCACGATTGGGGCAAACATCTGGACTCGCATGCGTCTTTATTAAAGCACCGAGACTGGATGTGAAATTATTTGATCCAAAGCTTTTATGTTTGGCTTTATGTTGTTTTAAAAGAGGTTAATTGTTGCTTTGATGAAGACATTGTTGAATTTGATGCTAGCTAAGTGAGTAAAGTACACATTTTTACTCTAAATTGCTACTGTTCCTCAGTAATAGCTGACATTTTTAAACTCATACCGGCCTCAGACCAACCACTGCCAACCACAAGCGTTACTTTCAAGACTTTCAGCGAGGATATCATGTGTCGTGCGTCTTTTTTTGTTGTTTTTTTTTTGTTGTTCAAGTCTTGTCCTGTTTGCTAAAGCCCAGCTTACTGTTGAAATCCGTTTGTTGATTTTATTTCAAATGATAAACATCGTGTTCAGTTTGCGTAGATTGTTCATGTGTAAAGATCAGATTGAGGATGTAAGAGACTTAACGACCTCATCTCCATGGTTTTGTAAGATTGAATGAATGATTTTTTTTTCATTTATTTATTTTTTTTGCATTTTTAGTCTTATACAAAAGTGTTTCAGTAGTTTGAGTTGTGGCCTAAACAAGTAAAAATAAAGCACAATCCCAGCTCAAGTTTTTTTTTTTTTTTTTCTGTCTGATGAAATTAATGTGACGCAGAAAAAGTGGAAAGTGTGACAAGTAGCCTTAATTCTGGCACATTCATAGAAAATGTTAATTGATGTACATTGTCCCTATCAAATACATTAAATTAAAGTGAAAAAAGTTGCTTTTCAAAGTTTTTTTTCCACAAGTAAAAAAACTAATGAGTGCGGTGTTTGATCAGTTTAATGAGTCTATATTTTGAAGAACCTCAATTTTTCGTAATTATAGCAGCAAATGTTGTCTGTCTCTACCAGCCTTGCCCTTGGATTAAAAATTTTTAAGCACCTGCCTTGTTTTAGGATTTTGTTTGTAAAAAATGTTGAACCAAATATGTCTGAGCTACAAAATTGGGAGCAATTGCTACCTTTTGATCCATTAAAAATAGAAAATCACTTTAAGACACATTAAGCTCTGTGGCTATATTATAACACATTATGAAAATGTCTAATGGGGTGCAGATATATGTATATATATTTTTTACAAAGGGCTATATAACAATTTATTCTTGGAAAGTTTGGACTGGACTCTTTTTTTTTTTTTTTTTTTTTTTTTTAGCACAAAGCCTTCTCTAACATTACACTTTGAGATTCAGCCCTCTAATTCAGGCTTAGCTCTCTTAACTGAGCTTCCTTCTGAGTGTGCATTCACACACACACACACCCACACACACACACATCCATCTCATGAACAGGAGCGTACTCTAGCAGATGCAGACAGACACCTCCTCTGCGGTTTCACCCAGCTGACTACAGACCATGTGGCACTGCAGCTTGCTCCCGTCTTCTGCCAGAAATCACGCCATGTTTGACCCGGAAAGGTTTTATATCAAACCCAAATATTATTAACTTGAGTGTAGTTGAAAGTTCTGGAAATCGATGTAACATCTCGTCCTGAGTGTGAATAAATAGGGGGACGGGGGAAAACATGCTGATCATGTTCCTTTCAGTCAGGTATTCACAGACTTCAATCCGACACTGCGAAGCTTCTTATCAGGTCGGCGCAAAACTCATATGAGAAATATATTTTGGTTGCAGCCTGAGTGACAGAGACTTTGTGCCACGTTGCGCTAAGAGAGCTAAATTAAAAGCAGCAGCTTCTGAGAAGGCATCATTATATGTTCCTTTAAAAAAAAAAAAAAATACATGGCTCTAAATGAGCTCACAGGAATTCATGTTGAGGAACATTTTTGCATAAGAGAATCATCTGGGTCAGTATTTTGAATTACAAGTTCCAACTTGAATGAACATTTCCTGATTCTGTTTGCTTCTACAGAAACAAAAAGTACTTTTTCACCTGGTGAGAATAGAGTTTTCTGTGAAATGTGTGGCTATAGATACAGATACAGCAGATTTTGTTGATTGTAATTTACTTAAAATCCCGGAGAACAAAGTATGAAAACAGAGGCGTGAAAGCAGCCGTCACAATTTTTTTAAAAAACTCACTTAATGAAGTAAACGGTTGAAACTGATTGATTCCTGAATTTCAGTTACTTTTTAAAGAGACTATCAACTGGTTTTGAAAAAAAAAAAAAGATACAGAAACATAAAGCTCTTAATTGCAACATATGCTACTTTTACACATTTCTGTTTATTATAGGTAGGTTTTAGGGATTAACATGAATAAAAACCTACATCGCGCGACCTGAATCAGACACGGCAATGCCACAAGCTATTCACACTTTTAATTGTAGCCAAATCATGTCAGCTTGTTTGCACTTGTCCAACTTTGTGTGTGAGCCTTTGCTAAAAATATCAGTGAAAAGGTTCAGGGGGGAGCGAGTCCATTTGGCAGGGAAAGCAACAATGCACACTAACAGCAAGCTACTTCGAAGGAAGCATGAAAAGTTCGATCTTCAAAACGTTTCTGGAAGACAGACCCGGTTCTGATAGAACTAGGCTCCACCTTCAAGAACGACACACGACTACAGTCTGGACGGGAGCAGAGTAGAATTTGCTCAATTTCTGCACAAATTTTCAGCCGACCGCCCTGTTTGTTGTCCCTGTGGCTTAGCGACATACAGAGAGCGAGAGGCTGTGTGTGTTTTTTTTCTTCTTTTCGTTAACCAACATCGTGTGAGATCCGAGCCCTGCCCACAATGTCATGCTTTTTATTGTGGCTTCACGAGGAGGTGATGTACCGCAGAGCAGCGTACTGGGAGACTCGTACACAATCATTAGATTAACAACACAAACACAAACCACTACTGAGCAAGTGGTGAGCACAAGTGCAAGCTCTGCTCCATGCATAGAAACGTGTTTCATAAAGCAAATGAAATGAGGCAGGGTCTAAATAAAGGAGTAATCTCATGTGCCGGCACAGTAAATGACCCCTGGAGGAGGAGGGTGTTGTGTAACCTAGGAGCAAACACTCAGAGAGTTTATCTTACGTCATTCGATTCGCTTTTCAAATTTTCTAACTTTGCGTCTACAGACATTCTTTTAGCGGAGACATTGGTTTTAAATTTCGTGCTCCTTTGTCCTCTGTTTTAAGCGCAAGTGTACAAAAAACAAAGGCAGAGCTTCATTAGAGGTGAGCTGTTATGTTCGCTTGAGCAGGTTGTGGTAGGTCTTCGGTCTAAAACATGTTCAATCTCATTCTTAGATAATGATATTTAAGCCTATTTTGAGCTCCTTTCAGAATGAGCTGTTTTAGGGGCTCTGCCACTTTAAATACAATTACAGTGGCTTGCAGAAGTATTCATAGCCCCTCTCATTTTTCAATATTTTGTCACGTTACAAGCAAAAAGCATAAATATATTTAATCAGAATGTTATGTGAAACACCAGCTGTGAAGACTGAAACCTTTGCCCATTCTTCTTTGCAAAACAACAAGCTCAGTCAGATCAAAAGGAGAGTGTTTGTGAACAGCAACTTTCTGATCTCGCCACAGAACCATGCTGTAAGTTCACCTTTATGGCACAGTTGCATGACAACACAGACACTACGTAGCAAATTAATAGGGTCTATTAACAAAGTATTAATGTGTCTTGAGCCCCCTGAAAGAAATATCAGGTTAACTTTACTCTAAGTGAGAGATGACAATGAGGAAGAAAAAAATCTTGACCAGAAAAGACTTTTCACTAAACGAGAGATCGCAACAAATCCTTTAAACCAAGAGTACATCAGTCAGTAAGTTCTCTCCTAATTAGAAGGAGCTGAACGGCCATCCTCCTTCTCAGTGGAGTGAAACATAAATCACACGATATTACAGACTATAATCCAGACTGGATTACAGTCTCTAACTGGATTATTTGGACACCAGGTGGACATGTTTACAGCAAACGCAGCATTGCGGGAAAAATAACCTCATGCCAACTGCAGCAAGTAAAACACACAAAAACTGACTTTTTGAACACGGTCCCTTCAAACCAATCCAGTTGTCTTTTAATCAAACAAACAATTCTCCAATAATCATGCTGTTCTGATAAAATGCTGTCTGTAAGGTTTAAAAGGTCTTTAAACAACCAGTTGGTTTGGTTTGTAAGGGTTAAATCTCTCAGTAGATCACAGCCTTGTTCTCCCTTTTGGTCCAAAAAAACATAAATTTCGAATAAACAGGGATCCATTAAAAATAATACTTAGCATAATTTTATATTTAATTCTGATATATCTGTTTGCTCTGTAGGCTCATATAGTTGTGTAATTCCCTGGAATGGCCCAAGGCAATAAATGTCAAGCGGATATTATGTGTACGGCCTAAGTGGAGTACTCTCATTATGTTGCGTACGCTCATTATGTTACGTACGCTCATTATGTTGCGTACAACACAAGGTGTTATTTTGCGATTATTAGCTAATCTAACACAGCAGCTTGCATGTTATGTTTCTTCTGCATTCTTTGCACATACAAACTGCAGCTCAAAAAAGCACATTTCATTAATAAACTAGACAAACATATTTTATTGCCCTCTTACCAAGTCAATCCTGGACAGGAGTTGGCTTCACACGGAAAATATGAGGCAGCAACTCGGTTACTGTTCGCTATTATTTTCTGTTTCAATTGAAAATCCACTTTAGAAAAAAAAAAAGTTTAAGTACAGATACGTAGTCATCCATTTCGACGTCGGAAGAGAGGGGAAAACTTTAAATGTATCGCTGGACTCATTTACTTGACAGCTAGCGCGCGGTCTCTTCCTCTGAAGAAGTGGAGTCAGAATGTCTGGGATCATGAGCGCCCCCTGTCATGAGGCAGGAGAACTGCCTGCCTCACCTCCAATCTGTTCTCTGTCGTTTCTGATCTCAGCAGACAAAACATGTTACAAAATAAATACTTAGTACAAACCACAGGGTGAAAATAAAAATCTAAATGATCTTATTTATTATTTTTCCATAGTGACCAGTGAGACAGAACTTGTCTTACCCAAATATATTTATATAAAAGGGAGGTGTAACTGGGTCTACATTAATAGTTATATATTTACACAAAAATGATTTCTTTAATGTATTTGTCAGTTTACATCTGGCTGTTCTTGTGTTCTTCTGTTTCTGTTATGGGGGTTTGGTCCTCCAGCTCCGCCTTACTTTCTTCTTCTCTTGTTCAGGGTCCTCCAGGACTGTTATAAATGTTAAATTATTAATTTCCTCTTCCCTTTTGTCATTCGTTCCACTGGGGAGAGGCAAGTTTTGTGGTCTATTGGAACCCTTTCATTCATATTCTTCAAATGTTTATTTTTCCATCTGTGTTGATTATATGTTTGAATATTTTCATTTGAGTTATTACGCCTTTATAACATTGTTATGTTGTATAGATTGGGCTGGAGAACATCTCCCGATTGACAGATCAATAAGCGGAGACTGCCTCCAAACCCAGACTTGATGCTTTGTGGTTTGTCCGATCACCACACACACAACGCAGAAGTCCACCGGTCACAGAGGCATCATGGAAGAATTATATATATTGCTATTTTCACCCAGTGTTTTATACTATAAAGTATTTACTTTTTCATTTAGCTTAACCAATTTTAATTTTATACAAATAAGTTTATTTAGTCTGTTATTCCTATAAGATTAAAACCAGTAACCGTAATAACACTGGTGTGATGTGAAGCTAGCTACAAACGATGCTATTGATGCTACATATGTTAAATACGTTCTAGTAGAATAGCTTAGGAATGATAAAGCATCTGGTGTGGACATGTTGGTATGGAGGCCCCCCAAATAAAAATCTGCTTAGTACCCCAAAAAATCTTGGATCGGCCCCGCAGATCCTTCAAGAAAAAGTACAATAACAAAGTTTTATTGTCACAGAAATCTGATGTAGACTAAGCAAAAACTCTGAGTTGCTTGTG